ACTAAGTCTCATTAATAAAAAAAAGAAAAGGGGGAACAAAAGATGAGAGTGAAAATGTTAAGTTTATTAGCCAAGGTTTATAAAAACACAGGATTAATATATACATAATTAAAGTTACAGAACTGACAAATTTTGATACAGCTAAAAATCTATTAATTAATTTTTCACTGTAAATTAAATCATTCCTGGTATTTTGATCTATTTTCCAAAACTTATCTTTGTATGCCTGAAATTCCAAATTTTATCCTTTTAATGCATCCAAAAAATTTTAATTGCTAAATTAAATTTCATGGAAGCTTCTGCATAACTAACATTTCTTAATTTAAATAATAAACTTAATTCCACATTTTTTCCATAATACAGTACAAAGTCCATAATCCGGATGCATCGGGACTTCGGCGATTCCGGATTAGGGTTTTTTTTTGGATTATAGATCATCGATTTAAATCTGATAAGATGGCATGCAAAAATTACACAATTAAAAATATTAAACCGTAATTTATGAAATAAAGAGCAATTATGATCTAAAGGGTATCAAAATTTACAAAAAAAAAGTTTAATATTTATTTGTTTACCTTATTAAACATTTCTTTCAATGTAAGTTGTTTCGTTTTTTGTGCTAAACGCGCATGCGTAAAGCATACAAAAAAAAAAAAAAAAAAAAAATTGTGGCTTTGAGGTTCAGATTATAGATCATTCCGGATAATGGACATCCAGATTACGGACTTTGTACTGTAATTAAAATTAAGCTCACTGCTATTTCCTTTAAGCATTTTTACTGGTTTTGTCGTTTTATTAATGCAAAAAGATAAAACAGTATAATAACCATTTTTTTAAGATGCTGCAGTTTATGTGGAAGAGTGTGTATGACATGTTTATTAACTTCTGATTTAAAAAAAAAAGTACTACTGCATTATCTGCCCAGCCGTGACAAGAATCACAGGGCAAAATGCAATGTTGCTGAAGTAGGCAATCCAGAATTTTACACAAATGTATTTATCACACAACCCACTAATCAACGGGTTTAGAATTTAAAGGTTATGTTTGTGGTTTCTGCTCATGCTTAGTATGTGCAGTACCTTTTTTTTCCTTGAAACAAAACATAATGCAATTGTGGAGTTTGCCTGCTAATGAAAAGAAAGACTGTTTTGAAGGGATTTTAAAGAACATATAGCTCAAAAGTATCCACCAGCTGTAGAAAATGTAAATGCTGTCTGGATTATTGCATATCAAATGATGCATCTGGATAACTTGTATTTATCTCCGATGTTACATTATTATAGAAATCTTGCAGCTCAAAAGTAATTTATGAACCATTCTTGGGTGACTGTGATAATGATTTTCTCCGATTAAGTAAAATTCTCTGATACATATACATATTTTTAAATTTTAGAACAGGTCAATGTATACAGGAATAACAGTGCTAAGTTGCTCTGCAATGCTGAGAATTCTGAAATTTTTTTAAAGTTAAAACATATTGCTGCACACATGGGCAGGAGACTAGGGGAGGAAAGAAAGTTAGTATTTTATTATGTTTATTAATTAAGTGTTTATTACGTTTGTTGGGCTTTTAATTTAGTGAATTTGTTGCCGTTTTATGTAATTTTCAGTGATTGGTTATGGATACTGTTTTACATAATTTTTTAGTATTTCATCGTAGACTTTCTTGCATTTTTAGCTAACCAAAAGCCGAGCAGTAAAACCGCTGAGCACTAGTTAGTTCCAACCTGGGTTCGATTTCAGACGAATGAGCTGGCTGCATGGGTGTTTTCATGGATTTCCCCATGTATATAATGTGTATACAAGCAAGTTCTACCTAGAAAATCCATCACAAAGGCATCACTCTCCTCAGACAGATAGCCCTCGGGTCCTTTGCAATAATTAAATAATCCAAATAATCCTTGCATTTTTAATTTTGTTAATTTATTGCTGTTTTTGTATAATTTTCCATGTGCTACTATTTTTTTTAAATGGTTACTGTTTTTCACATGTTAGGTTGGAGAAAAATTAGTCACCAATGACTTTGCAACTTAAACAAGTTTATCTCTGCTCTGCCCTCATATATGTAGAACATCAATAACACTGCATGCAGGGATGATTTTTCACCACTAAACTTGCACATCGTTATGCAATTGACAAAGATCTCGCTCCAGCTGATGCTGCTCTTGATGAAGAACAAGGAAAGGATTGGAAAAGTTGATGCTGATATTGAAGCACTTAAACTCTCCATAAATCTCATTCAGAAAAGACAGTCAGCTGCTGACACTAACACTGCCATGATTGTTGAAATGCTTCAAACCCTGGTTAAACTGAGGAAGAAAGCTATTTCCCTGAGGGGTAATTTGAATTTGCTTTATAACACAGGTTTAAATACAACTAGGAACAATCTTAATATTCTTAAAAGAAAAGTATCTAATGTTTAAAATGCTTATATTACCAATTATGAAGGCTTCCAACTTGCCACTAAAATGGCAAAGCAAGTAAGAGCTGATAAAGTTAAGGATACTATGGCAGTTAAAAACAAATTTCAGGCTCTTGATAATGATCAGGATACCAAAGCTCCTGGCATTCTGCCAGTTATGGTGAATCCCAGGGCAGTCTTCTTTGAAGATATTTTAAGCCAAATTGCTCAGAATAAAACTACAAAATTTCTTGGTAAAATTAGCGGCCAGTTTTTGAAAATACTCCCCTTTACTCAAAATGATTACAGATCTCTTAGTCTATTTCACAAAAATACAGCATAACATCATCAGTGCTAAATATAATCATTTAATCAAAGTTGTACTACGTTGTTTGCCAATTTTGGCTGATTTAAATAACATATAAGCAGTAGAATTAAAGAACTGCTGTCAGCAGGAATACTGTGAAGGATGGAATAATAAAAATGAATGAAGATGTTTCAAAGCAACCAAAGTCTGATTTAGATAACATCGAGATGTTTTCAGTATGCCTTTATGAAAGCACCGATGTGAATTTATGATCAAGGTTAACTGATTTCACTCTATTTGTTTGTGGAACAGTAATGAGAGAGGAATTAGTTGCACTGCTGAGTTTAGAAAACATGATCACAGATAAAGAGAGAATGAATGAAATAAAGCAAGAACCCACGGACGAAAACATCATGCTACAAAACATCGCGGGAGAAAACATCGCAAAGAGAAAACATCACAGATCTAAAACATCATGGTACAAAATATCGTCGTCGAAAATAAAGTGGTTAAAAAACTTCACAGTTTCAAAATATCATGGTAAAAAATAAAGTATCTACAAATCATCGCATGACGATAACATCACAGGAGTGTGCTTTGGCATAATATAACAAATCCAAACCCTACTGAAATATTATACAGCTGACTTTTGTCATAACTAACAAATTGACATTCAAGTAACTGACTGCATGCTGTGCATGAAAATTTTAATAACGCTTTAAGAATAAACTGAAACAAAATGAGAAATAATTATCCCTATAAGAGTATTAGATTAACGAAAGTGAAGAAAATAACCTCATAATTAAATTAGCAAATTTTTTATAGATAAGGTCATGTAGTTACTTACCTTCCTTTTTATAACCTTTTTTTAGATTATAATTTTCATGAAAAATTAACAGTAAAAACTTTATAAAAAATAATTTATTAATGACCTTTGTTAGATAACTATGTCGGTTTAAAGGCTAATAACAAAGGCTGCAGTCTTGAGAGATTCATTAGATCAAGGAAGGTATCTTCTAGGTAACAAAACTGTTACATTATTTTGAAGAAGCAAAATTAGATGAAGTTCAAATTCATAAGATAAATGCCGTACAAACTCGTGCTCAACAGCAATGACTAAAAGAAACGCAAAATCTGATCTCAACAAATGAGTTAAATTCTAAAATTGAACTTAACAACAAACTGACTGAAAATGAAATTTTGCCTCCTGTGAAATATGAACGTTCAGAATTAGATCTGATAAAAGCCTCTTCAGAAATATTTATACAAGAAGAGAAGGAGAGCATCGAATTGAAGTCACTTTATGAAGAAGCTAAAATGAAATCTTCTAAAAGTATGAGGTATATGTTGAAAGGCCAAATGCTATTGGCCAGGTATTGAACTAAATGGGATTAAATGCATGTAGTCCTTAATTGTAGTATTTGTTATAAGATTAAATGAATGTATTTTGAAAAGTAAAAAGTATATATTAAGTGATGCATCTTAAAAAAGAAACCATTTTTGAAGTGAAAAAATAAAAGCAATTAATGTATCTTGAACAGGATTGACATACCTAATTTTTCATACAATAAAAAATTAAAATCATCTAACATTGATTACTTTTATTTTATCCTTTCCCTACAATAAAGAGTGTTGCCTTTGGGATAATTTACATTACCTCAAATTAAACTGAAACATTTTTAAAATACTGTTTTCTCAATTTACATTAGATGCAAGTTAATAACTAAATAGCAGATATAGTTACAATATATAATTTGATAGTCTGAAATAAAAGCAGAGGCTTATAGATGATTTTTAAAAAGAAATATAACAAGTGGCACACTAGATGCCTGAAAATAATAAACTGTAATTTAACTGGCTCACTAACTGAAAAAGGTAAACTATCCCAGGTCTAAATGATTGCTATTCAATTTTATTCACAAACTTGTATGGATTGCTTCATTTTTACTTGCCCTATTCAAACAGATGAAGCTTATATTATTTAGCTAGGTGATTAAACATGATACTCATTAAATTTAAAATAATTTTTCTATGCATTATAAATATGATTATTTTAAAGTGAAAAGTTTAAAGAAAATTAACTAATAAAAGCAAGATAATGCTAAGAAATATGCAAATCATCTAGAAATAAATTTTAAAATACAGATTTTAGCAAAACATTAAAAAAAGGTTTTATTAGTGGTATTCGTATTAAAGGTACAGCTTTATAATTCTAACTGCAGAAGAAACTGCATAATACAGTTTGAAAAATTTAATAAATCATGTACACTTAAATATACATATATCACTTACATAAGAAAGCTATTAAATTTACAGCTTGGCTGAAAATGCAACTTTCAGGAGCAAAAGTCCCCGTGTCACTGATATAAGGGAAACCAACTTCTACATGATTCAGATAAACTGCAATGCAGTAACTGAAAAATATAAACAGTACGAAATTAAAATATAATAATGAAATTCTTGAAAAATTAACAACTACCGTTTGCAATAAATACATATATTAACGTAATAAAAAAAAAAATCCTATGGTTTTATACAGAACAAAGAGTCTCATGATCATTTAGTTTTATACAGAATTCATGATAAGATCAGATTTACAATTTAAATCCAATTAGAACACACATGCAATCATAAAATGAATTTCAACTCTACGAATAAAATAAAATGTGCCATGCCTGACGGACTGAAACAAAAAGAAATATAATTTTAGTGAAACTATATGTGAAATTGTTTATATTATTAATTTATATTTTATTCAAATTTGTTACATGCATTACTTTACAATTTACTTGTTAAGGGAAAAGAATTACACTTACGTGATTATAAATGAAGATGGTATTAATACAAATATAGAAACTGGTAACAAATGGATTCTTGTCAACACCATGTTTAGTTAAACTAAAAAACAAAATATATCATAAAAATATATTCGTATTAAGGAAATGACCTAAAAAAAAAATAAATTTTGAGGATACTATTAACTAACAGTCACCCTTTTTTTTACCATACCATATGATTAACATTTCTTGCTGCATTAATGAAAATAACAATTAAAAAGTACATTCATCATCTCTTTTACTATAAACTAATACTTCATAATTCTCTCAAGCTGAGAAAATAATGTAAAAAACAAAACAAAAAGATATATATTACAAATATTTTTAGTACTACAAATAAAACAGCTAAAATGTATTTTAATCATTTATATCATTAATATGATGTTTCAATACATAGAACATTACAAAATATTCTAAATCTGAATTATTTCAGACATTTAATGACTTCGATTCAAAATAATATATATATATATATATATTATTAGTTCCAGACATCTAACTTTGATAGTCATATATTCTACACAAAAATTTCACAAGAATTTTCATTTTCGAACTTCGACCATATAATGTCCATTATTAATCATTTTTTTAAGTAAAGAAATAAAACAATAAACAATTTTTAATTACAGATTTTTATAATTTTAAGCTAAGCAATGGTTTCATAAAAGATCAATACCTTAGCTTAAATAACTGCATAATATTTTTGTTACTAAAGTAAAGAAATTCAACAAAGGATGAAGCATTTGATATATCATTAAAAATTATATAATAAACGAAAATTATACATACTTTACATTTAGAAAAACAGTTTAGTAGTAAAAATATTACGAAAAACATTTTACCGTTGTCTAGATGTTCCTTGTTATATTTGCCAAATACGCTACGTACACAATATTAACATTTTATGGTAAACCAAAAAAAAACTAATGTTTCCTAATTAGATAAAACAATTTTAATTCAAAACTTCACTCTAAACATGTATTAGTCATCTCACGAACGACAACGAAATACCCATGAATAGTACGTCAAATCAAACTAAGGAATCACTACACACTTGACAACTTGTTTTCACTTTCTGTGAAAAAATAAAACCAAATCACATGAGCTTTTTTTTTTTTTTTTTTTTTCCCAATTATCTCAACTTCACGCAATGATTACATCAACAATACACGAATGACTTTGACATACTTCCCTTATTTTATTGATAACAGAAAGTGATAATATACAGATTTAAAGTGCAGACTATCTTGAAATCAGTTAACCAGAATAGTTTCGATCGGGTTTCGATCAAAGAATTCGGTATCTTCTTAAGGGAAACTAAAAGGAAACTTGCTATTTTCAATTTATTTGAAATGGGATTAACCCATAGCAATCGTCAAAATGGTTTTTGTGGAATATTTTTTCAGATAGCGCAAATTATTTAAAATATATCATGACATTTGAAAAGATTTTAATAAAGGATACGAGAGCAATCTATTTAAAGGGAAATGCGTCGAGGGCTTTCTAAAACAGTGGCTTTTAGTTGGTTGTGACAAAGTACATGAGAACAAGAGGGAGAGATGTCTTTGTAGTGGGCTTTCTAATATAATTTTATTCGTATTTGCATTAAGTATACATGGGAAAATTCATGAAAATGAAAATGTTCCTTCAAGCAGCCCATTCACCAAAATAAATTTTTAAGGTAATTTGGCTCATGTTCAATATGGAAAGTAAATTATGTTTTCATCTGAACACAGTCACCCGTCGTGGATTTAAACGTGCTTAAGGACATCATTAATCATTTATAATATTCAAACATTTTCAGTTGAATTTCGGAATAGCAGTTTATTAGGCAAAGACTTAAATTTTAAAGAATCTGCATTTCGCTCGACAACATTGCTTATTTAGTTTTTTTCTTATCACGGTTAATCACATAATTGAAAATGTTAAATGTAATGCGAAATTTTTTTTTGCAAGATCACTTGGAAACTGATTAGAAAAACCGGAAATGATTCACTAGCATTTGACTTAAACAAGCTGTGTGGGTGAGAAGAACCACTTGAAATCTGGTTTCGATATTTTGACGTGCGTAAAATTATTAGCGATTGCTGTCACATTGTTAATTTGAAGGTTCTAAAATTAGAATGCACTTAGTTCACGTAAAGATACGGCATTCCGCATGATTTCTCACAGCATGGGTATTTTTCTTTTGTTACTTATGAAATGATTGAGTTGATAGATGCACAGCTGTATTATCAAGTAGCTTTTGCAGAATACTTTTTTTGAGCGTTTATCATCGTTTTGCATTATACTTCCATTTAATCATTATGTAGTTAATGGATCCACCTCAGATTATTGCCGAAGCTTATTGCATTACATGTCAGCGACTGTATTGGGCATAGGTGTAAGTGTTTTTAAATCTTTGTGTTGTTAATGATGATATTGATGAATTTTTTTAATTTTTATTTTCGTAAGCGTGTTATTGAAATAAATGCAACCAAGCTTACAATTTTTGCAGTTTTTGAGCATTAGAATCAAAAAGCTTCTAGAATCAAATATATATATGTATATGAACATTTTCGAGGATTCTAATTTAAATTGATGTATGAGCATAAAATATCATTAAAGTACATCATTCTGCGAGTTATTGTTATTATCAGAAAGAATTCAGTATATTGAAGCATACCTACATTTGAGAGGAAATACTGTAATTTTGTAAAGTGAATGATTTAACCTCAGTGATGTGATGACCAGTGTATGAATTAATTAATAATATATGCTCGTTTACTACTCACTGTATATGTCACATTTACTGCTCATCATAAAGTTGCCAAGTAGCCAAATCCCGTGTACTAGGATTTAACCGGTAAATTTGCATACTAGAATTAAACCGATAAATTTGCATTTTCTATGAATAATTTATTAAATTTTTATTTTTTGATTTCTGATTTTATTAAATGTATGTAATTTTGGGTAAATATGATATTCGATTATATTAGAAATGATATTGGATTATATTGGTTTATATTAGAGTTGTTTTACATATCTGCAATTTATTTGCTAAACATATCATTGGCTAACATTTTTTTTTTTCCTGACATGCAACATTTTAATAATGTGTGTTATTGCCATGACCAACTCTGCATAGGTTTATGCAAATTATTAAAATAGTTTATCATTAATTAACAGCATTTAAAAAAATTGTTAATGCGTGAAATTTTGATATCTTAATTATTTACTAACTAAAAATATTCAGATTTTATTTTCATTTAAAAGTACTGCATAATTGCCAAGCCTTCTACTTTTTATTACAACTTCTATTCTTCTAGTAGATCTTCAAATATCCCAATTTTAAATTTTTAGCTTCTTAGGAAATAGGATTCTCTCTTATTTTTAGTTCTTGGGAAATAGGATTCTCTCTTATTTTTAGTTCTTAGGAAAATAAGTACTCTTCTGTTATCAGAATAGGATTCAGAAATTATGTATGTATATGTGTACACATGCATACAGTGGCGTAGCTAGGGTGGGGCAAGGGGGGACATCCGTCCCCGGGCGCAGCATCCAGGGGGCGCCAAATTGATGATGCACATTTCAGAATGAAATGTTTTCCATTCTTGGAACACAGAAAGGGGCGCAAAATCTTTAGGTGTCCCCGGGCGCTGAAAACCTTAGCTACGCCTCTGCATGCATACGTATGTGCGTGTGTATGCATATACATATTGTTACGAAATACCCAGCCGCTGTAAGATAGCATCCCCACAAAGCAGGTTTAGGTTTGCCCAAAAATGGTATGGGAAGGCTGGGTTGTCTTATTTGGTGCAAAATTGTCCATTTGGCGACAAAATTGATGATATGCTGTGGATGGATGGAGAACATTCTAGAATTAATTCTTACCATTTTGGCTCAGAATGTTCTTGAAAGCAGCCCAAAACCTGTATAAATCTTGCGTGCGTGTCGAGTCTCGGGCGAAATGGAGAATCACCCCATTATTTGGCACATTTCATGTGGCGCTTTTTATAAGAGTAAGAATTGGATTTTTTGTCTATTTCCTTTGACTTTTTTAAGTGAAAATATGTAGGTTGGGTTGATCTTTACATTATGGTAACTTGGTGATTTTTTGGCGAAAATTTGGCAACCAACTCTCCTACAGCAACCCTCTATTTTTTTTCTCCGCCGCCATTTTGTCTTCACGAAGTAAAGACATGTTTCTTTTCTTCTTATCTACTGAACACTTCTTCCAACAATCTACTAGCCGAATTACACTTATGCTAGAAATTTTATCAAACGAAACTGCTTAATCATGACAAATATTCACTGCAAAATTGGGAAAAAGTGCACAATACCATACTCCTTACGTGTTTTTCAAAATAACACATACACATAAACCATGTACACGCCGACTTATTTTTACTTAAAAAAACATCCCAGAATTACACAAAAATGGCATTGCGCACACTCTTCACTATATCCATGTACACTGCTTTTTTTCTCATAAATTAGAAAAATTTTCACGAAAATACATGACAATTTTCTCAATCTTTAAAAACCCGGTAAAAAGAACATATATGAAATTACCTGATCACGAAAAAGTATTTACCCTTTCCAAATATGAACATTTCCACATATAAAATAAATAAAATATCCAAAAACTTTTACCTCTAAATCATCTATTACATTACGCACGTCACCAACGAATTCATACCGCAACCATTACTTAGTGTCAGATATTTAAATTATTTCCATGCACGTTTACTTCAACTAAACGTCAAATTCCTACAAACATAAAATTCACAAAATAACTATCATTTAATTAAAATATAATTAAATTCAAAAACACTACTTAAATATAAATGAGCACATACATTAAATTAATAACATACATAAATACCCATTTCGAATTCACTTTAGTTACGGCCATGGGATCCAAAAATTCACAAACACTGTTTCACACAACACAGAATAAAGCCAAATACAAAATTTCCAGATTTTTTCCCGATTTCTTCCCTTTTCCGATTAAAGAACCGTAATTCGTCCATTAATATCACGACATATCCCATAATCTCTCATTTCCCTCACACAAAATAATGCGTAATAGGAACTGAGTACTGCTCACATTATTACCAAAGTCCCAGGTAGTAACCTTTATCGCCTCCAAAATGTCGCCAAACTACCAGTTACCATATTGTAAAGATCAACCGTAGGTTGATCCAAAAAAAGTTTACAAGCAGAAGCATTTGAAACGTAATAATTGTGGAGCTAATATTTCCACCCCAGGGTGGTTGACAGATCACGCTAGTTGTCCTACAGCGGTTCTACAAGTAAGTAGCGTCAGTGCGTAGACACTTAAGAGCAACGCATTGAGGTGCGAGCCGTAATTCGATTCTTATCGGCCAATAATGTGGCCGCATCTGAAATTCACAGACAAATCATTAAGGTATATGGGAACAAAGCAATAAGTAGACAACAGGTAGCAAAATGGTGTCATTCTTATCAAGCGGGCAGGGAGCATGTGGAAAACCGCAATATGGAAGCGAGCAGTTGTCCAAGTTCTTCAAGGACGGATATCAACATGGCACGTGTTGAAGAAATCATCCAAAGGGATCGACGAGTAACCGTGCGTGAGATTGCCTTAGAGTTGGACCTGTGTTATGGTAATGTTCAGCGTATCGTAACCGATGAGTTGCGATATTCCAAAGTTTGTGCCCGCTGGGTTCCTTGTGCGTTGTCGGCGGAGCATTAGGCCACTCGAATGATGTGCAGCCTCACATTTCTTCAGCGATACCATTCAGAACGGCCCAACACTTCATTGTTCACAACACACATCGTTACCGGTGATGAAACATGGCTTCATCACTTCACCCCCACATCCAAAAGAGCCACGATGGAGTGGAAACACGCTGGATCACCGATGAGGAAGAAGTTTAAGGTCACACTCTCTGCCAGTAAAGTGATGGCAACTGTTTTCTGGGATACAACTGCTGTTATCCTAATCGAGTATTTGGAGCTTGTACATATCATTAAGGCCGATCGTTATTGTGCCACCTTATTGAAATTGCGTAAAGCCATCCGACGCAAACAACCTGGATTACTAAGCAAAGGCGTCATTCTTCTGCATGACAATGCCAGGCCCCATACAGCTCGCCAGACTCGGGAATTGCTGCAAAGGTTCAAGCGGGAGATCTGGAATCACCCCCCATACATTCCCGATTTGGCTTCAAGTGACTATTTCATTTTTGCGGCGTTGAAGCGATGCTTATTCGGAACACGGTTCACCTCAGACGATGCAGTGAAAACAGCTGCCGAGAAGTGGCTGAATGAGCAGGGCTCTGGTTACTACCAAGACGGGATAAACAAGTTGATGGATTTGGTGCAGCTGTCTTCATAGTTATAGCCTGAAGGTTGTGTTGCTGATTGTTTCAGCATGTTTGTCGTAGTTTTTCGATGACTGTAAACATGTTTTTGGAGCTGTCCTGAGTAATACTGGCTAATAAATTGTGTTTTCATTCACCATCAGGTGTTGTCGTTGATCACTCCAAATCCACGAACCTGTGCAGAATACAACAACTGGTGTTAGGAGTGGGGTTTGCAAGTGAATGCCAGTGACCCACTTGCAGGATAGCCATGGCAAAGGAAGGCTTTGGTGAATTTTTTAGGTGAGACAAAAGCCAATAAAGTAGAGATGAAAACCAGACAGGAAGAGATCGAGGTTGGACAAGAGAAGTTAGAGAGTGAAATAAAATCAGGTCAAGAAGAAACAAAAGCCATAAAAGAAAAGCTGCAAAAGAATTTCGAACAGATGGAAGTGGAACAAAATAAAATTAAAAGCGATATTGCTGAGTTTAGAGAGGAAAAATAGAGAAATGGAGCAAAAATAGCAGCTATGGAAGAAAGATTTGAAGAAAAATAGAGGAAGTTCCGGAAGGAAGTAAATGTTTTAAAAGAAAACTAGACTGAGCCCAAGAACAAACCTGAAGATTTCGAGGTTTCCCCAGTTTCTTCTTATACGGTAATCAAACCAAGCACATACAATGGAAAATCACCATGGTGTGTATATAAGACCCAGTTTTTGATCGTGGCGGAAACTAACAAGTAGGTCTTCCACATGAAGGTTTCACAGTTGGCTGCATTACTCTGAGGGGATGCTGTAGACATCTTAGGAGTCCTCTCCGAAAACCAAATTTCTAACTTCAACGTCCTCTCAGATGCGTTGGAACTGAGATTTGGGGTAAAAGTGTGGAAAGGACTATAGCTGCTTGCAGTTTAAAACTCGCCTGCAGAAGATCACGGAAAGCATTCAAGAACTGGCGAATGACATCGAGAAGTTGGCGCATCAAGCATATCTGGGCTATCCACCTAATGTCTGCAAAAATCTGGCCGTGATGCAGTCAAGGATGCAAAAATTCA